CAGCTGTGTTATGAGTGTTGGTTTATCCATGTACGATGGCTTGGAGAGTGGCTTGGAGAGCGAGAGTCCTCCTGATAATGGCTTGGACAGCACTACGGGTGCTACAAAAAAACTGGCTAGAGGTATCTCCCGTGCAACTGAAAATGCAGCAATTGTTTCCTATGCTCGTTTACAATTGGCAGCCTTAGGAACACTCGATACACCAGAATTCACATTTTCATTGCCAGACTTGTCTGTATATCCAGGTATTTTTCTATATTACTCGAATACAATATATATCCTAATTATTTTTCATTAACATTATCAAACTTTTGATTGATATTTTATAGATTCGTTTCGTAAATTCTTGGAGAAGGATCTGATAGAGAATGGATGCTTGAATTCTTTAGAAGCTGCAGGTCGATTAAACTGGTGGTACAAAAGTGGAAGCACTAGAATTCTTTGGCCACTAGCTACATCTGGAGATGGCAATTGTCTACTTCACGCTGCGTCATTGGGAATGTGGGGCTTTCATGATAGATTACTTACACTGCGAGAGGCATTGCATAATACTTTGACCAAAGGAGAATACAGACACGCAATTTTCAGGTATAAAATAAGAAAATACTAATTTTAAAAGAGTAAATGTTTAGGATACCTATTTATCCAATAACCATAATTATTAGACGATGGAAGTGGAGACAAACGAGTCTAAATGAAACGGCTGGATTATCATACTCGGAAACGGAATGGTTATCAGAATGGCAAAGTATAGTGGATATGGCATCTCCTACAATCAGAAATCAGACTGTTACCTCTTATCAGAGTCTTGAAGAAGTATTACAACATCTTTTCTTTGAATATCAATTTTTATTTTAGTTAGATATATAATCTATACTTTTTCTATTTCAGATACACGTGTTAACCTTGGCTCATATCTTAAGAAGGCCTATAATAGTTATAGCAGAAACTATGTTGAAAGACGCGGATGGAGTAGCTTTAGCACCGATCCCATTCGGTGGAGTGTATTTACCTCTGGAAGTACCGCCTTCGCATTGTCACAGAACACCCTTACTCTTGGCATATCATTCTGCTCATTTCTCCCCGCTTGTAACTGTAGATGGCTGTAATGATTATGGCAGCGCTTGCGGTGAAGGAGTTAGTATACCATTAGTAGATCCAGACACAGGCAAACTGTTACCAGTTTTATTTGCCGTGGACCCTGGTCCTGATTGGGATTGGGTTGATGGTTCACGAGAATTGTTAACTTGTACGCAGGATACCGTAAGTAGATCTTTTTGCATACATTTAGCATATTGTTGACAAAGTATTAAATTATTGATAACAGAATCATTTTGTTATTTGTATGCAGATGGAGGCTTTGTTGCGACAGTATTTAGATTGCGAATATCAAAGTTTCACGTCCGAAGATATCGACAGGCTTTCTGATTCGGATGGTTCTTTGTCAAAAACCGCGAAGCAATTGTTAGAGGTCGCGAAACAATTCGGTTCTATCGGTAAATCTGTCAGTAAAAAAATATGGTCTATGACGAACAAAAGGCCAAAGAGCCCGCCTTCTACCAGCGGTGGAATTTCGACAGAAGGCTTGTTGTGTGTAAGAATAAAGAGTAGACGTCATCAGTATGTGGATCAAATGCTACAAAATTATCTTCAGTGTGCTCATGCAAGGTATTTTCACATTGATTATTCGATAAATCAGAAGAATATGGATCATAATTATATCAATTTGTTGTATCATGTTGCAGATATTTACAAGATCATCAGGTGGATGACACAGGTAGTGAACTAAATTACGGTGCCGGCAAGTCCAAATTTTACGCTGCCAGTGATCGCGATAGTCATGCGAGCGTTAACAAACTATTACCTACTAACACAAACAAAAATCATACGCTTTATCTTTCAAGGTATAATTGCAAAATCTAGATTCTCTTCGCTATATCTAATCATGAAGAATAAATTAACTTTTTTTTCACAGATCTACATTTTTTATTGATAAAACTCCATCAAGTAATACGGGGCCAGAGATTTGGAATAATAGTGACCATTTAAAGGTATGTCAAGTAACTTTCAAAATGAAAAATTATAAATTCTGTTAATTAAAAGTTGCCATTTGTACAGGGCACCGTGAAGGAGTGCCGCAGTGAACACTGCCAATTCTTTGGATCGCCAGAAAATCAATATTATTGCTCACAGTGTTGGGCTCATCAACAATCTCGTTAAACAACCGTCCATAAACGTACATGACAATAATCTCTATTTAATATCATTCAAAATAAGCTATTAAATAATTTTTAGACATAATGCTAGCCGTAAGATAAAGCTTGTGAATGTCCCACCAACATATCGTCGATAATATTATGTTGTTTTCAGTTTTGTTTCTTCTCATGTTTTCTTGTATTTATTAACATTTTCTATCAGAAAGCTGCATATCGTATACACAGGATTCAATTAATCGATATATTTACTCATTATGAAGCGAGTTTATTACAGTATACTTTCGTTTCAAATTAAAAAAAAATTGTGTATTTTTATTCAAGAACAAAGTTGTTTTGCAATCTCAATGTGCCTTCTGTCCTATATGCACGGAACAAAAAATGATGATCTACATTATGATAAAAACGTTCACTCACAACTACCTCTACAATTCGATTCTAATGGTCAGCAATTCGCGATTTTTTTTTTGTATTGAAATAAAAGATAATATGAAACGTTTATAATCTCATTATCCTGTGCATGTACAGCTGTGTGAAGAATAAATCATATTTTTATATTTATCGCCTCATTATTTACCGATGTGCGGAATATAATAGTAATTAAGAAGATACAACAAAAAGCCCAGTTTTTGCCATAATAAAATGTATTTACATATATTTCCTCACATTAGCCTATCATCATGTGAAAAAGGTAATTAATAGTAAATGATTAACATTACCTGACATTATTACCCATATTCACTAAATTATCGACAAAGCATATGTGATAGTATTAATATCTGTACTAATGCTAATTTTATTAATATCTGTACGAAGAAAAACTTTTATGTACAAAAAAGAGAAGGAAAGAATTATGCAGTATATAAATTATTGTTTTTTTTTCAGTACTTTGTATGTTTTCTATTATTATAAATAGCTATATAAGAAAAACATGAAATGAGAAAAGATTTTACAGTACGTCGAAGGAACTAGGGAATATTCACTTCAGCTACGATACTACTATAAGCGCAGAGTATATGCTTAGCTATTGGGATTTAAAAATGTCCTCTTGCTTTCATTTTATCATTTAAACACTTTCAACATCCGATATTGGTCTTTCAATGAAATAACTAATAAAAAAATAAGTAAAAGAGTACCATCTATATATTTTGTGTCATTAAAATTGAGTTTCACGTATTTACTATTTACAATTTCAGTCATACGAGCGCAGATACAATATCAGATTAGTTTTGTATCCAATATACTTTTCACTTAAGTAGTAAGCTTACATTTAACCAATTTCATCTAGAAAGTTTTAGTTCCTCTTATGAAAGATGATAGCAAAAGAGAGATCTTTAAGAAAATTATATAAACCAAAATAACTTTGATGGCTGTAATATTATGCGCATATAAGTTTCACTATAAATTCTTTCAAGACATTTAATGTAATTTATAATTAAAATTAAAATGTAGCAAAAGTTATTCATTTTTAAAGCCATGAATGAGTTTATCATTCAAACCCGCGAAGAAATAAAAACATGATTATTGTTAATTTCATTTTATAATTCAATAAAATAATACGGTGAAAATATCAGTATGATTACATCGATATATGGATGCACATACATATATAAATATAATTAATGATATCAATGTATAACATGAATCCTAGTGTGTGAGATGCAAAATTTATTACTGATAATTTTTTAACAGGTTTCTTCTTCGGCAGCTTATTTTCTCTTACACTAAATTGAATTCTTCCCCTGACAGTTTTTTTTTTCTTTTGTGTCATCGTAACATAAATAATTATTCAAAACAATGCAAATTTTATATATAGATATTATACTTAGGATCAATTGATGTACCCATTTACAACTTTAAACAAGATGCGAAACTAGATGTCCAATATAAAAAAAAAATCAATCGTGTACTTACAGTACTTACGTATGATTATTTTTATCGAACGTTTGTCATTGTCAGGTAAATCAATTGGTCCGTTCCTATTTAAAAGATCAAAGTGCCAGCCACAACACAACAAGCAAAGTGCTCCTATCCATAGTACTTATATCCATACTTGCGCGCGCGCGCGCCGTAGCATATTGCTTAAGTTAAAGAGCTTGTAAACACGGAATTCTCCATAATTTCATACAACTATTAACATTCCAATCTTTCTATTAACTCTCGCCCATCGAAAACTGGTATCATTCTCAATTAGTTCCATTAATTTTGTACATGTTTCATAATGAGTTTCTATAAAGTATTATATTAAATATTTGTGTTGTAATATTTATATCGCGTATTTGTGTAATACATATAACAAATATAGCTTAATATGTTCAATATATTATACATGCAACGTGAATAATTAAATTTTCTAAACGCGCCATAATAAATAAAAATTTTCATTACATAATGATATAATTTTCGCTGTCTAACAAATACTTCGGTAGTGCGAGAGTTAAAGAATATTATCTTTCATAAACCACCGTTAAACAGAAAATCTTATTCAATGATAGATCTTTTAGAAATCATAAAAATGTATTTATATATAAAGTTTGAATAGGCTATACATATAGATTTGTTTAAAAAAAAATGTAAATGATTGACGATGGTTTAAGAGAGACATATCCGTATTCTTATTTAAATTTAAAGAGTATTTTATTCATTTTCGATAAAAAACAATACTTATTTGAACTTTAATATCCAGAAGGAAAAACAGAGAGATCGTCCGGTTTAGAAGCTCGTTAATTTATTAATCTATACAGAACTGATATATAATAATTAGCGATTCGTGGGTTTTTATTATCATTTAAGAAATGGATCACGATTCCCCATTACCACTATCATCACCATCCTCGTAATCGGTCGCGCTCAACTGCTCATCCTCATCATCATCCAACTCGTACTCGTCATCGTAGAAGTCTGTCATATCTAGTTGTTGTTCGGCCGGCCTCGCTCGAGTCTTTATGCAATAATCCTCCAGAGTTACAGGCACGACAATACCTTCCTTTTCCGCTTCCATCTTGGCAGCTTGAGCTTGTTTCCTAAACAAAAAAACATAAACGAGATATATATTGAGAAAATACCTACCTTGGTTGTGACCAATCTTCTGCCTATCAAATGAAAAATTAAATATATTTTTAAAATATATCTAAAATTTCCTTGAGAATTTCTTGATTTTTTAAATATCTTTTTGTGGTTTGCTAGGAGATATAGAATTTTCTAAAAAATATTTTATTCATAGATACTAAAATTTTAGAGAACAATTAATCGACTTTAGTGAAATCCAACGTAATAATTATTATTTATAATACAAATGTTATTTCTAAATTATTATTATTTCTAAACAATATCTTCTTTTAATAATAGATAAATTAATATAATTGTTAAAAAAAAACAATTTACAGTTTTCATTTTCGTGTATAATTAAAACAAGAATTAATTTTCCTAGATAAGTTTATATAGTTGCTCTAGCGTTAAAATATATATATTTACGTTGTACTGACATTCTCGTTTCCGCAGTTATCTGTTTCGCACAGTTGTCATAGTTTTTAGCACGCTATGGATCCGGTAGCGGTACAATTTCAACGAAAATGCGCAAAGTTTCTTGCAATCGCGTGATGATGTCACGCAACGGCATTACTAAGGACATCTTACCTTATGATATTTTCATATTCTTTATCTCTTCCTTTGGAATCACGCCAACGTCTATACATTACGGATGCGTCAACGTTGGCTGGACTATACGTGTTGGGCTCATTCAACAACGAGATCACTGACAGCAAGATAGTCCTGAGATGAGAGACACAATCGATTAATAATTCTAACAAAAATTTTTTCATTTTTTGTTCCTTTTTTTCGGACTTTGCGACACTGTATACCCACCTGACATTCTGAGTCGGATTCCACCTCTCACAAGGCAACTCACCGCTCTGTGGATCGTCTACGGGTGGATGCAGAATTGATATGCACAGATCACCATTCTATACAAAGAAAGAAGTAGCCTTTTATACTAATTCTCCTAACATTTAATTCTTCACCTTCTTATTCAATTAATATAATAAGCCTGTTCTTTGTCGTTACATTGGACTGCATTAAAATTTTTTACCTTCACTTTCACCAAACTTCAAATATGTATCTATTTCGTTTTTAAGTGTACACAATAAGTGTCAACAAGTATACATTAGTAATCACAAAGAACAGACCTTATATCACTTTGTTTTGCGCAATGAGTTGATATTTACGTATGTTATTTTCGGAAGTATACGCAATTGTATTTATTCGCTTACATATGTGCTGAATAATTTATTGTTAAAAAACTAAGGTGAGCCCAAAGATGCTCATGTCAATTTAAAAAAATTGTCCGTATACATATACATTTTTATTTGCCATTTCTAAATATATTTATTGTTATTTCAAAAAAAAGAGCCTGTGCATGTGTAAAAATTTGTGTAAGCAGCGTTTGCGTTCATTCTGTTGTCCTTTCGCCAAACACACAGCGACCTCGGTGCTTCTGGTTCCGTGTTTCTTGTCCCTGAGAAGACATCGTTGCTCGAAGGACGAGACCTCCGGATGTACCTTTACAGTACGTGAAGAGAAGTCACCGAGGTCATCATGATTCTATACCATATTCGGAGAAGAGATACGATTTTTTTTTAACCACAATACATTATCGGAATCGAACAAAACTATCAATATACGAAGAATAGTAAGACTACGAATAGCAAATAAAAAAAAAAACAAAGGTCTTGGGCCGTCCTACAAACGCGTGTCATGAAAATCGTAGAAAAAAACTCGCTGCGGACGTTTTCTCACAAGAATCACTTCTATCTTTTATCTCTCCTGTGAAGACGTTCGGCAAGTAGGACAAGGCGCACCGTGGTTTCACCGTTGTGGCTCGACTCCGAACACCTCGTAATAAGCCACGAAGGCGAAGGCGAGCTCCTCGAGTAAACGCCCGGCACTTGACACGACCGTTCCGATGGCGATAACATCGCTGTATCCGTGCATGCATTTGTACAAGCCGACGAGTCCACGACGCAGAATCGCGCGGAGTGTAACCGATGAAGGTGACCGGCACTTGAGATCTATATATCGAGAGCTACACGCAAACAAAATGTAAGAGGAAGCGTAAAAAAAACAATGAAATTGATTCTAGACTAGAAATAGATTCTGCTTAAGAAGCGCGATATTTAGTGGCTTATTATAAAACACTCTGCATATATTATATATATATATATATATATACACGAAACTAAATAAAACAATGCCGCTGCCTCTTATTCTTTACGTATGTAAAATGTCTACCATATTTACTGTACATTACTGGATTTGCGTGCCGACGAAAAAGATCAGGGAAGATTCGCGTAATGTACAAGATACACACGCGTACGAATAATATGAATTTCACGACGGGGAAAGTTGGGCTTGAGAAGAGCGAACCGTATACGTGTTAAGCCATGCGGTATATATCGAGTAAACCTTCTACGACGGTCTGCTTCGATTGTGAAAGACCTCTACATATATTGAAGTAAGTGCCGTTTTCTCGAGGATTTGCGCAATGCGCAGATTATCATCGAAATAAAATTTCACGCGGTGAAGAAAAAGCGAGATAAGTCGACTCTTCGCGTATGATTAATCTCCTTTGTACAACCGAGAGTTACTCGGTTTTTTACGGTCTACCTCGCTGGATATAGAGATCGTTGATTTTCACTTTACAGTTAGTGGCTTCGCTATAATCACGTGTTATGGAAAAAAATAAAAATGACGTACAGAGTAACAAGATTTTGCTATATATTATATTTTGAATTTAAATATATTGAAATATAAATAATACGGACATTTAGCGTTAGATATATGATAGAAAAGAGAAATACCGTATTTGTAAAAAATACGATACATAATTACAGTTACATAAAGATAAGTTGTTCGGCTTATCAATCGATCAGCAAATAGGTCAACTATTTTAAATATTCGAATTGAGATAGGAAGTAAACGGCGATTTAAGATACCGGATTTAAAATATTTAATTTTATATTCGTGTTTCCATACTACACACATACACGGAGAAAATTTTATATTTGAAATTATATACAATATTTAAAATACTATAATGTAGTAGTAGCTGCGGACTATCATGTAAATTATGAGTTCAAATGCTATTATTATAGCTATTTTTTCAAAAACAATAATGCAACGTAATTTTTACACTTTTTCATAGTAAAAATTTTTTATTACAAACTCAAAACTTGTTGAATAAAAGTTAATATTGTAAAGATAAGTAAAAAATATACCTTAACTGTTAAAATGTAAATTAACTGTTTCCTGGTTTAACAAATAATTACTTTATTTACGTGATAAAAATTAGTATTACCATAGTAAAAGTTATGTCGAAATCATGTCGTGTGGGTCCATCGGAAATACAAGACATAGTAAAGTGTAATTTAAAATTAAAATATAATAATATAAAATTTTCTCCGCGTAAACTATGTTATTTTACAGTTAATTCCATACTGTACTACAAACGTGTCCAGGTTGCAAGCAAGAGAGTAACTGTGAGAGTAAGTCTCTAATCTACAATTCACAAACTTTAATATCCTCTCTTCGACAGCCCAGACCTTTAGAAAAAAAAAAGTATTCGTGTTTGCCTCGTTACTCATAACACGTTCTCGTCGTTACCATCCCTATCGACGACGGGCGAGTGGACATGGATGTCCACGCGGGCTTTCGACGGTCATTGACTTCGCTTCGCTAGCCGCCGAAGGGTCATATACGACGAACAGCGAGCAAGAGATGCGGCGACCGAGGTCGATAAGCGGTGTGGGAATGCGATACTTTTGTACAAACGCAAATGATACCACCGCAATATGTAAGAAGAACGCGGAAATGCCATTCCCAATCCCCGCTGAATACTTCCATCTCAAACGATACGATCCGAACGATACGATTCGCGATCCGCGCGAAATATCGTACTAATCTTAATATTTTATATACCTATACTTATTGGTCACGTGAGAGCGAGTTAGCTGTGTGATACTTCTATAAGAACGATCTCGAAAAGTGACTTTAACAAATCTCATTTTAATCGATTGTTTTATTTCGCGCGGACGATATTATAACGAACGAATGCGAGAGCGAAGTTTTAAATGCGGTACTTCGGCGTAACAGACAGGAAACGGTCGTGCTTTCGACCTTTTAAAGTGGCGAACAACACGACGATCAGTCCTCGTAAAAACGTCGCGTATTATCAACAGTGTGCCAACTCGTCTCGTCGGCTTGAACTCGTTTTCCCGCTAATCGTCACGCAAATTCGCAATGTCGACGGATATGGCGGAAGAACAGGAATCTCAGAGTTTTACAAACGTCGAACGTGACGACGTGTGGCTCGCGATAAATATAGTACGGCCGGACGTTCTAAGAATGTGGTGGCGGTGATACGTCAATATGAATGCAACCTCTGGCGAGAACTACTACGTAACGTGCAATTTTTCAAGTTGGCCGTTTTTACTTTCTTTTTTTTTTTCCCTTTCCCGTTCGTTCGCCCGTTGCGTTTCGATGGTAACGACGGCCCGGGGTTTCGGCGGCCCGGGTGGTTTCACAAGCGCTGAAAGTGACGATGTAAAAGCTGATGGTTGTAAAAGCTATGGCGGAGGGTGGAAGATAAAGAGAGGCGGACAGAACGGGACGGTCGTTATACAGCGAGAGGCGGCGAGAGCAGGGTGAGAGAGAGACAGAGACAGAGAGAGAGAGAGAGAGAGAGAGAGAGAGAGAGAGAGAAAGGGGGGAAGGGGGGGGACGGATGAACGGAAAAGGGACGCAAAGGGAGGATACGCACGTACACACGTATGAGAGGAAAGGGTCGAAACGGGCAGAGAGAGCATACGCGGGGGATCGATAATTCTCGTATATATTCACTCACCTCATATACATTCGGATGCCAAACTTTTGTCATGAAACGAATGCTCGGTGGACTGTACGGATAATCCGGTGGGAACTTCATGTGTGCCTGTAACATAACGAATTAAGCCTCGTCAAGGTATATTCTCGACATACGACTCGGCTTCGGGTCGCCGAGACGCCCACGCGTAATCTACGCGACACGCGCCTTCGCTTACGTATCTATATGTATATCGACGTGGATTGTGAAACCGTTATAATTTCAGCGAGTTCAATATCCAACGCTACACACGTGCGGAAAAATGTGCGTTGCGCCAGTAAGACCGTCGGTTCTATTCTCACGATCAACGTGGGAAATTTTCCCGCGCGTGTGTGCGTACACCATCAAAATTAGTCGACCCATCGAAGTTGTACCGGTTTTAATACTTGTTTATGCGAGCCCTCGAAAAATTTTCGCAAACTTTTCGGCATTAAGCTCATGCCTGATCCAATTTCACACATAAACTTTCTGACCCGTTATTTATATTTGCGATGTACAAAGTTAGAAATTGGCTAATGGCTACAATAACTTATTTCTTACGTTATGCAAAAAAAAAAAATTGTTGTTTAAATTGATAAAAAGAAAAATTAACGCTCTAGAAATTAATCGCTCTACGGCGACCTGTAAATAAACACATCGGAGTTCTCCGATGCTACGAAAGTGGAGCAACATGGCCGTTTAGAAATGTAACCGAGATAACGAGACAAAATGTAAAATCGGAGCGCAGGCTTCGACATCGATAAGATTCGACATTTCGATCGGGTTCGGAATCTCCAAGGGAATTTGCGACGATATCGATTTCTATTCCAAAGCGCGAAAGGGGTGTCTGGTCTTGTTCGATGCAGGCTTCGTCGTCGGGGACGCTATATTGATCGCGACCTGGTCATGGCCCAAATATCCACCTCGTCCTCCGGGATAACCGCGTTCTAGAATTAACCTACTTTCTACCGACTACACGCTTACAGTGTCACGAAAATTCTACTCGGACTGATTCGCGTTGCTCCACGTGTACTCGAAAATTGTCTCGTTGTAACTATTTTTGTTACAGCCAATTTTCCGAAACTGCTTCAACTACAACGAAATTGCTGGCTCATGGTTGAAAAGATTCTATTCTTCTTAATGTGTTTTCCATTTATCTTTTTAACGTGTTAATTAATAAAGTACGAAAAGAATGATCCGTTAAGGTAAAATTTGAACAAATGTAAAAATAATTTTATGAGAATAATTATCAAAATAATTACATAGAAATCTAAAGCATGATGAGCAATGCCTACAAAAAGTCTAACAACCATTTTAAGCGTCCTATAAAATTATGATTCAACAAAATTATTTACATATTCAACTTTTACTATTAATTTTTCTTTTTACAAAAAATGGAATTTTTCTGTAATTCTTATTTACTGATAATCGACGTCCATCGGAATAAATACAGGCACATATCAAGTTTTCCGATGCAATACCGCAATATTGATTGCAAATTATCAGCGTGCGATCTTATACATCATTGTCAGGAAATATTCCGTGAATTATGTCTGCAATACAAACTTTCTATTTCTATAGCAAAATCCTACTAGAATTTTTATACGTCATAATAGCTATTCGTCTCAAAAGCCGCTTTTGCAGAAGAGAGATTATAAATCGTGTGGATTTTTGCAGATTGCTCCGGAATGGAACTATCACCTCGACGTCTTTCGCAATTCTTTTGCAATTCCACCGTGTGACCTACAAATTTTCGCGACCTACTTCGACAATAAGCAACTGTGGTCATCGTAACGCGACGTTGTGTAACGTGAGCTAGGCGACAACTTTTCAAACTATCGAATCGTGTCATGCCTGACAACAAACAGATCAATTCGATCAGGCATTTTTGTAAATGAGACTGTCATTAGGTCTATTCTATTCTTAGGTTAAAAATGAAATTAGAGAGACAAGGCAATAACAATATTTTATTCAAAATCTAATTACAATTATCCGAATTCAATCAATCGCTCTTTTGTTTTGTGCCTTTTTATGTGTAATAGACTATAATATAAATCCTTCAGAATTTATGAATTTCACAGATAGAATTATGTACATTTCTATCTAACGGACAAAGTCTGTAATTTGTAAGTTGTAAAAGTTGACCGTATTTTCTTGACTGATAATCAAGTTTTTTCGCGTAATAATTCACGAGAAGAAAGAAGAAGATAAAAATAACTTTTAACTTTTTCAACATGCGTAAGATGTAACAAATACTTTTCCTTTTAGAATCGTGGATCCGAATAAATCAACAACCGCAACTTCTTTCTAAAGATTCGCGGTATATTGACTATCGATTCCAAGTTGTATTATCGCGAAAAGTTGTGGCACTCGCGAAGCGGGATGCCCACCGTCTCTTCACGAGGTGAAAGGATAAAGTCTGATCGAGATGGACTTGGTGGAAAATGAAATGGCGAAGTTGCTGCGTCGAAAATCGTGAGCTCGTCAGATAGCGAATCGATTTTTCGTGCACCAACGACGAACCGATCCAACGGCGCACGATCGTCTTAGCGGAATGAGATTAGGTGAAAGTTGGTCGGTAAAGGCCTGCTTGCACCAGAAATAGAATCGAGACAATGCTCGATGGCATTTTATGTAACTTGGCAACCGTATCGGCTACCTTTTACCGAGCCGTGCATAAATTTTGATCGGAGGACAGGGGAGGCTCTTGATAAGTAGAACGTGATCTTGCGAGAAGATCGCTAGAATCGTCGTTACCGAAAGAATATTATATACGAGACTCGATGTCTCCGTCATGTGCTATTCAAATGCAAGAGAGACATTGATATTTAGCTATCGCGCACCGTTTTAAAAGGCAGTGATCATTAAAAATGAATGAAGGAGGCGTGATCCGATTAGATTATGTGCATACGCAATTCTTTCGGTGTTTCGTTTCGTATCATCGATACGTATTACGACGCAATACTCTTTCGCGACTTTGATAAGTTATATTCCGTTATACGTTACGTTGCTACTTTTTTAACGTTCTGCGAAATTAAGTTTATCTCGAGCTAAGTAAGGCATAAAGTCTCGTATAAATTTGCATTATGAAACTTGATCTATAAAGCTAAAACCCGAAACAATTAAATTTATCAGCCGTTTGACCTCGCAAAATATTCGTAACGGAAAAAATTGATTTCAAACTAACCAGATAAAGTTCATAAATAATAAAGGTGGGAAACTTCGTACCCCTCTAAAAGAATGAAACGATAGTACGTAAAGTTATTCATTCACGAAGATATCTCAAACGCAGCGTAAGATGAAAGCGATTGTTTACCTAAGCACGGCGCAACGCGAGCATTCACCGATTAAGGTCTAACGCGATTACGGTAAAATGGATAATAGATTAATCCAGTGCTTCGAGCGGAGCAGTGGACGCAGTCTTTCGAAATAACCACGAAGAGGGATTTACATGCGCAAGGTGTACACCGTGTACACGGCTTGCAAGAAACGCCACGCTCGTTATCGTCGGTTACGTTGTGGGAAGATACGTTGCGTTACGTGAATAGGCGTTCACTCGTTCACGACGAGGCAGAGAGTGGTTTAGAAAGCGGACGGGACATGCAAAAAACTTCGTAGCCGCGACGGCAATGACAGAACTCATTTTACAGTCTGGCGTTTAACCTGGGCTGAGCATTAAAGCCCCCCCTTTTGCCTCCTCGCTGCTGCAATCGCGCTGGTTCGTGACGTCAGAAGTGAAAAATCATTTCGATCTTTTCCTTCGTGCATGCACTCACATTTCACACATTTTTCACCGTCAGACGTAACATTTTTAAATGTGACTTTAAGAGAAAAGGCAGAACGTCGATATTGCAAATCTAACAAAAGAGCCAAATTATTATCTGATTAACGTTACTATTTCCTATCTAATAAATATTAATGCAAGAATAATCAATCTTCGGCTAACTAAACTAAGAAAAGGGAGGGAAAGATAATAGATGTCTAAGCCAGCATTGTCATCAACCGGTATCATCAAGGTAGTCTCAATGACTCGCGTGTGATTGTTAGAATTCACTTGGCAGGAAAACGCTTTAGTTTCTGAGATAAACATTGGCTCAAGGATAGGAAACAAGGCGCTCGAGCTGTATGCGGCGACGTGAAATCCGCATTGTCACACGTGTAAACATTTGGCGACGATAAAACAGATCGTTCGAATCGTTTCATTATCGAGTTTAATTATAGTCGTCGATTAACAGACCATTGTTGTTGTTTCCTCGTCTTACGAATTTGGATGTCTACAAACAGTCAAGATAACAATATCATCTAAATTTATTTTGAAAAATATTTGTTTCTTAAGATTAAACAGACAAATAAATAACTCGTTTTTAGAGTAGATCACAAAATATAGATATCTGATTTATGAAAATAGAATGCAAATTATAAGCCACAATGTTTTCAGAAACGCAATCTTGACAAACAATCCACGCATTTAGACTGCCATTTTTTTCTAATTAAAAAAGAACGTTTTTTTCAGTTCAGCTGTGCAAACGTTAATGATTTTTTCATTCAATATTTAACTGCAGTAATCTTTGCGATTACATCTATCAATATCATACGTCAAATTTATATAAAACTTTCTACCTTTTTCAATATCAGATATTTTCAGTATTAGCAAAATGGAATAGATACAACATGTTGCAAATGCATGTTGGCGATATCACACGGCGATAAGTATTCCACACCACATTACCAAAAATAGAATCCGCGCTCTGTACTTGTATACGTATGGATTTACTGGCAAACCGAAATGGTAGTCAATAACGTCGAGTTACGCTATGCGCCAAGTTAAGGTATCCTACGCGTTATCCGTGTTTCATCGTGAAAAATAAAATAATATATATGTACCAAGTCGCCATGCGACATATTTAAAAGGCACAGCTACGTACAAAGAGCCTTTGTTTATTTGACGATAACGCGGATAAGGAGGACCGTTTTCGAGGTGAACGAAATCTTTTCCGTGGAGTACCGATTGAACTCGGCCTCGGATGGGAGTGGGAAACGACGGGACGCGACGTAGACAAGCGCGGACAAGCGCGACATAACCAAGAAGGGATCAACGAAGCGCGTATAAACGCGGAGCCAATTCAGCCAACACCATCGATATCGCCGTTGCTCGAAAATGCTCGACGCGACTTGCGTAAATACACACGCGCGCACCTATGCACACCATAAACAGCACAGAGGGGTACAGCGGGGGTACCTTGAAATATCCGCCCTGGTAGAGAGTGTCGGGCGGACCGAAGATCGCGACTTCCCACTCGAACATGTTGTCCTCGTTGACCAGCTTGACACGGAAACCTTCGACGGGCTCCTCCTGGAGGCTCTTGTACTCCAGGGCGAGCGCCCGTAACGCGCTGCTCGTTGGCTGTGCCATGTCTTCACTCTACGCGCTTCTTTCTCTCTTCTTTTTCTCTCTCCCTCTCTCTCCCTCTCTCCCTCTCTCTCTCTCTCTCTCTTTCTTTCTCTCTGTCGATGTATCACAATATAGCTATCACTGTGAGAGCGGGCGAGAACGTCCCGATCCTGTCGCGTTATGTAGGTAGTCACGGTCCGAGGACGGACGTCTCCCACGCGTGAAACCTACGGCCGAGGTCCCGCGGGATCAATCGGGAAAACCACCCGAAATTGAAAGAGGGATCCGAGCGTGAGCGTAAGGCAAGTCCGACGAAGAGGCACACGCGAGTCGAGAACGTGTCCGCACGACTCCGTCGCACGCAGAATCGCCCGGAAACGCGCACGCAGTTCTTCTCACGCGCGCGTACGGCGAACCACGGCGAACAAAGGTGCGCGAGAGCTTCGTTGCCGTGCGACGACGAAAGTTGCGCGAGAGAAAGATGCTCCCTCCAACAATACAACAGTATTTCCGACAACAGTAACAACTACGAAGACAACGACGACAACGACGACGAAGACGACGACAACGACGACGACGATGACAGCGACGACGACGGACGCACACGCACGTCTATTCTATCCGCCGCGAAAGTCTAGCAAAACAGCTGACGTACTCCCTTGCGTCAGCGATCTGACGGTCGCGCACGCGCGATCATCCACTCTCCTCGGCTCCTCGGTTGGATATTGCTGGAATTCCACGATTTAAAAACCACCTTCGGACTTCGGGGGAGCGCGATTGAGATTTGTCGGAAAGCAAGCGCGAGACGTGCTCCGTTCGGAGCAATTACTTGCGCGGTGCGAACAAATGCGAACGTAACAAAATTGAATTAAATAAAAGAATCGGAATTACTTTGATTGAAAGGTGAAAGAGATAATAAATAAAATATCCCGCTTTTTCCCCATTAAAAAACAAGATGTAAAACTTCGGTATCGAGAAACGTTGGCCTCGGTTGGCCCCGTTATTCTCATTCGATCCTTCTTAGAATTCTAAGAGACCGTACGGACCTGATGTTTGCTCAGAAACTGCATTAATTTTATTTAATTAAAAACAGAGGGAAAAAGAACTAACTAAGTTAAAATGGTGGAATTGGTCGAGAAATTCTATCATCGGCGACGCGTTTTCGTTACGTTACACGCAACCGTTTCGAGAATACCTTCCTCGATAATATTAGAACGTTCACCTCGCAGATCATATCTTGTGGACGGAGAGTTTCCATCGAGCGAGTATACCGAAGGAGTGTTCTAAAAGATGACTGGCCAGATAGGAACTGGGGAGACCAGTCGACGTGCACGTGGAGAACGCAACCACTCGCGAGGGACTAATCGGATTGATCGACCCGAATGTGAACACCAATCACACGTGATCCGTTTCTTCAACGCTGCGCTGTTGCGTTTTCTGTACGAAGGCATATACGAGACATGATTATAAGTCAGTTGCTGGGCCCATATTTGTGGGCCCAATCATCGATAAAACGTTAAGGCCTGTTAGAGTCGCAATTCTTAAGATGAAAGAAATTTGCCAATTACAGTTGAATGTAAGAAAAATAATCGACTATGATTGGTTAATTTCTTACAGCTTACGAATCGCGATTCTGTTGTATAAAGACCTTAAAGAACCTGCTACAGGTCTGGCTAGGTCAAAGTGATGCTCCAGATTGCTCGAAATGTTTTAACCTTTGGCTCTTGAATATACCAGTATTTTACTTGGGAAAAGACTAAGCGATTTTTTTTCTGTTGGTGATTTCATAAAATTGAGAATTCAATATTACAACTTAAATGTCAATTTTTGTCAATTTACTCAATTTTGCTGGTATTTAGAAAGCTTTTATTTGATCACTTTTTCCACTTTTCTTTCGAAATCTGAAAATGTGTTCTTTAAATATAATCAGATGATTGCAAGTGGGGCTAAAAGCTTAAATATTTTACTATTTCTAGAAACTTTATGCAATTTTATAGCATTAGTCTGCCAGGTAGATATAAAAACTCGATAATTGATTATACATACATGTTAAAGTTACATATTTAAATTATCGTGTTTTAAAACCAATTTAAGATACCAGTTTTAACAGATCAATACGTTTAAGAGCGCATATTCCTGTGTCGAAATAATTATTTTTATCTGTTCTGTGAGATAAGAAATATTTCATGACATTTTTTTACTTCAATAAATAAATATAACTAAAAGGAAAAAATTCTATTTTTTTCCAACACTGTTTAAAATTTTGCTGATTCACATGATTATGTGAAAATTAATAGCATTACTCGTCAAACTTGCCGGATACATATTACGTATCGCTACAATGGCTGCATTCAGCAGAATGTTTATTTTGCAACTGTTGAAAGTTTTCTTCACGCTGATTGGGTTATGCTTTTAGATCAAGAGGAATGGTCCTATCTCAGCAGAGAATCATAATATGGTTGCAAAACTGTTGTTCTGCTGAACGCAACCCAATATATATATAGTCAGGAATTATCAGGAATTATCTTTGCGTGTGTATTTTGATGTGTGTGGTAAGTGAAATAGAAAACGTGCTGACCACTAACGAGCAATCTTATTTCTACTAATTTCGTACAGCTTAAAAGAGGCAGAGCCATCATTGGTCATTATATATTTGAGAAGAAATTTGAAATTCACGAAAAATGTCTGAAATAAATCCAGAAGTGCTCAAAGTATTCGGCTTTTGGAGTAGCATTTTGGTTCTGAAAATGCTGGCGATGGTGCCGTTAACTGCGCGACAGCGATTTCGAAAACACGTGAGTAATAAAATAATCATTCCAGATAAGATAATTATTTTAGGCCCATGATTTTTTTCAAATGCCATAGATATAGAATAGAATATCTATTATGTGGTGAGAAGAGTTTCTAAATTGTTATAAATGCAGGGTCCGGCAAAATGATCTCCCACATTTTGCACCGCCACTGATTAAAATGTGGGAGATCATTTTGCCGGACCCTGTATTTTTTATCTTGCTGATTGTTAATAAAAACGCTAAACTTGAAACAGGAAATAATCTAAACATATTTAAATTCTTAAAAGTTACAGAAATATTTTTTTCGCATCTGTATATATTATACATATATTTTTTCTTAATTAAATTAATAAGGGGACATATTTTTATATACTCTCTCTCTAAAATCTTTAGATCTTATTCGGAAGAGTGAAATCTTATTCCTAAAGATTGAAAATTGAGACATCTTTTCCAAGACTGGTTCAACTTTCATTCTTTAGAATGACATTTCGTTCTGAAAAATTTGGAGAGTTATATACTGTTTTAGCATCACGTCAGAATTTATTAACTAAAATGAAACTGATTATGATTAATTATTGTAGGTACTAGCAAGTCCAGAAGATGGTGTCTTCATAAATAAAGGCAAAGCTGTTTACAATGATCCAGATGTGGAGCGTGTACGCAGAGCACACTTGAACGATTTGGAAAACGTTCTTCCTTGGTTCATAATCACATACTTTTGGCTAGGAACAGGACCTTCACCATGGTTGGCCAAAACTTTAATACAAACCTTTGTACTTTCCCGTATAGGTCACACTATATCATATGTAATTTTTCAACAACAACCTCTGAGAGCGATAACTTTTGCTGTGGCATTTGGAATTACAGGTTACGAAACATTTAAAACATTATTATACTATTACTAATTGCTTAAATACACATAAATCGTGAAATAAGCACATAGCTATGCAACAACAAATTATATGTATACATACAATTATATATACATAACATTCTTTTAATTTGGAGATAGAACAATTTTATATATACAGGGTGGGCCATCTATTGGTACGTTTTTAAAAATGCGATCAAATGAGCATACATTGATATTTTTTATTAATTTTTTTTTTGTTGTGAAGCTAAAAGTATCCGCGTCAAGAATGAAAAACGATTTCGTTCATGTGGCTCCCTCTACTGGCCTTACAGTATGCCATTCGGTCACCCCAATTATTAATGACATTTTGGACTACCTCGGCGCCAATTTCACTCAAAACAGTCGTAATATAATGTCATCCACTAACATCCCTTTCTCACGAACTTTCCTCACCAATTTGCGTATAGCTCCTTCGGTGGGTGCTCTATCACGACCCATATTTCTTTTCAAAATTCGTACAGTTTCGGCGACACAGCACTGACTTTGAAAATAAGTTTTTAAAATTTCAAAACGCTCTTCAAGAGAAAACATGTTGTTTCGTGCCGCGGACGGTATGACTAATAAACTGTCAAAATTTCGGGTCTGTAGCTCGTTCGGTGTTGCCATACGACGAAATTCAAAAACGTACCAATAGATGGCCCACCCTGTATCTACAGAGAAATATTGTAGTGAATCTAAAGATACATTGTATGAAAATGTAACATAAATGTATATGTATATCTTCATAAAAAAAACAAGTGTAATATTAAATATACGATATATTTGTTATGTTAATAAAATAAATGAAAAACTTTATTTGTGATAAGTTTTATTAGAGGCATTAATGATGCTACGTGTTAAAATTATCTGTTATTTTTCTTGTAACTATGTATCACGTATAAAGATAAAAATTATTTAAAAAACTGAAAACTTTTTTGAGCAAAAACCAATTTTTATTCGATTCTGAAAGTTCTTTACTCAGATATGTATTTTTTTACATTTGGCATTATATTATTGTTCTAGAATTCAATTTTTGTCAAATTTTTTATTTCATCTAAAAGATTTCTGTATAAAGATAGCCGTAAATAATTAAAATGTATGTACAACGATTATTATATTATATTTTTTGTAATTGAATAAATTGTAAGTAGCGCTATGGATTCAATTTTGTAAAGGCGTCAATTAATTAAACACCGCAACAACGTAAACTTTTTCGCCTAGATATTTATAAATTTATAAAGACAAAAAGCATTAAATAATATCGAAATAGTATAAATATTATACGTTTCAATAACAATACAAATAAATTTTATATCTTTTTATTAAGATCTTGGTAAAGAAGTTTTATAAAAAAATCAATCTTTTCATTCTGTTTTACTTAAAAGTTATATAAATCTAATCTTAATATATTAAAACAATAATTTTAATCGCACATATGAATTTCTTTCTCTGTAAAATCTGTATACGTTTAGTATATTTTCGGCTGCGCAAGCGTTTTAACACACTTCGAAGGCGCATACGCGAACTTTATTGTACATGGTCGTCATGACGGCATCGCGACGCCGACAAACGCGGGAACGTCAGACGTCGCGATGCATCTGTGACGTGTAGTCGTCGTCGGTGCGTCATTCGACCATCATGCCTTGATTTACACCCTCGCCGGGTTAATCGCAAGATTAACGCAATTCTTAATTTTCGCTGTGAAACTTAATACGTGTTAATGCAAAATGTTGAATTATAAACGTTTACAAGAACCAGTAATCACTGTTCGGTCTTGCGTGATGAAGATCGATAGACCAGAAGCGTAGAGTGATCGAGAAACACGATAACAGGTGGGTATAATTTTCTAATCTTATATAATGGATAAAAATTACTCCTCATATAAATTAACAAGTTTTAATTTAATTAGGAAGTGAACGATTGATTTTTAAAATACGCTATATATATTTTAAAATATTTCTCTTTAATCGCGCGACATAATTTGCCTAATTATATATATGTGTGTGTGTGCGTGTTGTGTGTGTGTTTGTGTGTAAAATTTTCTATTATTCTACACATAACTTTATCGCAAGTTAATCATATCTTTTTTTTATCGCAAATTGCACATGCATAAAAGTGCATTGTGTGGAAAATAAGCAGAGTTCAGGTACCAGCGACTGAAGAATGCAGGAGAAATTCCTTATCTCTCATATCCATGCAATTTTCTCCTTTGTTCCGACGACAAACACGGATCCCCGAGTTACACACGAATAGAATCAAGCTCGAGCAGGTCATTTCTGTACCTGCACCTCGATTTCCGTGAGGATCATGCTTTTTTCTTTCAGCGTGAACAGAAAAGCCAGCTGAACGATTCTTTCTCACGTGCAATGATTTGCATAGGATGATAGAAGTATGTCTTATCGAAGATTGGAATAAGTTTCCAACTTCTTTATGTTGGCAATTTTTTGAAAGGTTCACTAAAAATTAAATCTGTTTTCTTAGTTAGTCACGTTATTTGTATTAATTAAATTGTATTAATTTATATTGATTAATTAAGAACCGATAAACATTATCTGACAGCCTACATATTCCAACTTCAAGCGACTTAAAAATCGAAGGATATATTCTTGCTTATAGAAAATTAAAATATATATTAATTTTATATGTTATTTTATATTTACATTATTTACATTATATTATTTTCATATTAAAATAACTTCTTAAATTAACAACGTGTTTTTAGTTGACATATTTTCTAGCGCCCGTAATACCGTAACGTGTTCGTCAACAGTGTATCAATGTTTGTCTACTTTCCGGAGCTTTAGACGTAATGAAATTTTCTCACGAACGGTGCATTTGAACAGAGTATATGTAGAAAAGTTCCTTAGTTAAAAGTCTTCGCATTCTCTAATTAAAAATCTTCATATTTTATGGGACTATCAGTTGCGCAATTAATTAACATTCCTATGGATGCAGGAATATTTATCGTTTTATTTTATAAATTTTTATCGCACAACTTTTCGTGTACCATGTAATATTGTGTAATACGATTATAATTTAAAATCATAAATCATACACTGAGAGAACGAAATGGTTAGAATAACCACAATTTATAATTTATAGTCACTTGGGACAATCGTAAATTTATAATTGTTTTGACCATATGAATTATAGTAACCTGAACTAATTTATATGATTATCTTACACATAAATCACATATTTGTATATAGTAAATTATACTATAAGTTGTAACTATACATATAAGGTTATTGTTACTATTGTATATATAAATCACACACACATACACACACCCATTATAGTAATAATAACTATAAAAATGATGTTCCTAACCATAATTATTTTACTTTGCAATTATAGTCACAAATATGATATACTTTTCTCTCAGTGTATATATATATTGGGTCGGGGAAAAAGTTTCTTCGTATTTTTTAATTCAAAATTGTATATACAATATCTTCGTCAAAAATAAATGAAATTTCAATTTAAAAAAAGAGTTTTAAAGCTTGAAATCTCTACTTTCGAAAGATTAGTATATTTTTTCAGTTTCTGTGAATTTGATAATTTTTACATCAAAAAAACTGCGAGCTGAAAAAGATGAAAATTTTTCTTTTCACTTTGAGGGTCTCTCACGTGTCCAAAAAAAATTTACAAAAATTTTCGACTACCTATCGTGAAAGCTCGAAGCTTTTCCTACAAAATCATTTTTTAAAAATGTTCCTATGATTTTTTGTTATTGAGTTATTCGCGAATTAAGTAAAGGAGCATTCTAACTTTGATTGCTCGTAACTCCGATAAAAATCATCTCACCGCAATTTAAAAAACAGATTCTTAAAGCTAAAACTTTGCTCTAACGAATAATATAATTGTAACGAAAATTTTGCAACAAATGAAAAACTTTTGCAAAAAATTTTTTTTAAATACGAAGAAACTTTTTCCCCGACCTAATATATATAGGTATGTTCATTATGTATGAACGTGAATTCCGTTGTTAATTTAATGATAACGTTAATGCGAATAGACAAATCTCTTCATTGTTTCGTCAATACTAACCGTGGTAACCACATCTAGGACGCATAGATAGCACACGATATGCGACTATATACGTGCATCTGTGTTACTCCAAAGATGCGCATCTTACGAGAGAAATTTTGAATGATAAAAAAACAATTCGATGCGCGGTCAGTTAATTAATTCACTTTTAACTCGTGTTTTTCATAAAATTCTGATGAATATTAATGACACAAATTATAAAACAGCTTGTTTATTTCATATTCAAAACGGACAATAGTAACAGGGTTTTTGTAAATTCAGCCCGTTTAAAAAATGTATTAACTTTTTCATAAAACGCATGTTAAAAAAATTACACATTTTTTTTAGTTTTATTAAAATTTCAACTTATTTTTCTATTTGAAAAAACGGCCTTTTCTAATTTATCCTGTACTACACACACACACACACACACACGTAATTATCGATCACATTCTATTGTCGAAAGATCGGTCGGATTTACTGAATATTGCAAATATTAATTAATTGATGACGTTACACTATGCAAGCGGTATGCACGTGATTACAAAGCGGTGTATCGATCACGTATTGGTCCCTAAAGGCAGTTTAAACACAAGGGACTCTAAGCGTTCACCGGGTGCATGCCTGCGGCGTACGGGAGATAGATGCACATGGTGCATCGTATACACGCGGTTATCGATAATCGTGTCAATTTTCCATGTCGCGTGGTCACGCCTTATACGTGCGTGCCATCCGAAATTGCATTTCTCTGTATCGGCTGTCACGAGGAGCGACGCGCACCGGTGGCTATGATTCAATTTGTACCGGGATTAGTACCAAGATTCTAATCACGTTTGAGGTGGGTGCGCTTTCACCCTTTACACGCCGCAGGACGGCCGATAAATTTGCTCGTTGCTGAAGTTACTTGTCAAAGTGAAGTGAAGCTATTCCACGTTTTTTCGTGGTTTTAATTAAATTGATTTAATTAAAATCAGAAATATATACAGTATTTTTCTGATGTATACAGACTGAGAATATTTTTTTTTCTTTCTCCTCTTTTTTCTGAAATAATTTTTGTGTGAGCTCTTAAAAAAGGAATTTCTTAAATTTACAAATTAGA